TGAGTTCACTGAACACGATCAATGAAGAGTTCTCATATTCATGTCACATGAGAACTCATGGTTGGGATAATGCAAAGTAGTCCTTTGACCTGAGGCATCATAGTTGTCTTGTGGTAAGGTACTTGATCTTTGATTATGTCAAAGTCACCCCATCCGCGGGTGTCCACGGCATCGTCGGGGTTAAGCCACTTAGCCATGGAGGCAAGTGAATGCGCAACAAGGGATCTCTAACCTTCAAACCGTTTGGGGGAGAATACTCTATGATATGATTAAGAATCTCTGGCCAGAGTATGAATGAGATTTAGGAAGTCGTTCCAAATCACATTCAAGGTAATCATATAAGCACACGAATCACATTGGATAGTAGACATGAATAAACTATCAAACCAAACAATGTGGTCAAGAGTATTGTATTAAAGAAAGACCGTATTGCATTTGTAATCCTAAACTGAATAGGTTCTCCACCTCTTCTGATTAGCTTGGGTAACCATGATATGCTGCTAGGTGTCACTCATGGTTTGTGGAAGCCCTAAACGTGTATAATCATTAAAGGGAGAATTGAAAGTAAGTTTCAATTCACAATCGATTTGAAATGGTTTTAATCGCCCACTGCCTCGCTAAAAGGAACCTAATGGATCGTACACCGTGTAAGGTGGAGATTGAAGAAACAATGGAGATGAATAAGAATAATTAAATGGTTTAATTATTTATGGCAAGGATTAATTAATATGTTAATTAATCAAACGAATAAGTTCGTTAAAGACATCGGGATAGTTTTGGACCTTAAGGCCCAATGGGCTTCGAACGTCAAGCCCATTGACTTAAGTTGTATGACAACTTAATGAATAATGATTCACAAAGGCCCAATTAGCCCAATAATACCCTAAGGCCGGCCATTTTAGAGATGGAGTGAGTTTTGGACTTATTTACAAGTTTGCCACTCCAATGAATTAAGGTATAAATATGACTTTATAGCCAAAATTCATTTAGGGTTTTCTTTTAGAGAATTGGAGAGAACATAATCTCTCCTTTCTCTCTAAAGTGGCCGGCCTCCTTGGAGGGTTTAGCTAGCAATCCTACTACTCCAAGGTCACTCATTTCTTCTCCAATCTAACCTTGGTGAAGAGACTTAGAGGTTCTCAATTTTGGGAACTTGGAGAACCATTTCATCCATCCAAATCCATAGATCTAAGATGCAAGGAATGAAGGCCCTCTCTTTGGGTGATTAGCCTTTGCTTATGCAAAGACGAATCTACAAAGGTATAATTTCTCAACTAACAAATGTTGTTTTAAGTTGAGTCAAGGTTCACCAATCTACTAGGCTTTGAATTTCATGGTTAATGTTTTGTTTTGAAGTGCATACAAGCATGATTCCGCCTTTTAATTGTTAATTGCATGCTATAGATGTTGCTTAAATGAACATGTTTTTCACACAATTTCCTTCAGAAGGTGCAGGTCAGACCAAGGAAACAGAGAGGAAAGAGATAGCAGCGGCTGAAGGGGTTCGGGGGTGCAGATAGAAAGGAAAGAAATGTGGAAAACAGCAAGGGCAGGGAGTAGGAAGCAAGGGGTGGAGATGTTAGGAGGAGGGGGATGCTAGAGAGAGGTGGGATGGGTTGTCGCCGGCCCAAGCCTAAGCAAGGGATCGGGGGCTGAAGGTTTGCAAGGTTAGGTTTGTTTCCTAGCAGAGAGAAAACAGTAAGAGGGTTTGGACTTTGGAACTTTTCTCCTCCTCCTAGTTGTAAGAGTCTTGTATTTTTGACCCTTTTCGACCAAACTAAGCAATAAAACCTTGTTGTGATTGGACTTTGAAGTATTATTCATTCCGCCTTATACAACCAAAAACTTGATATGTGTTTATGGAATTAAAGACTAAACAATCAGCCTAGCTACGTCACTTTCAAATTGAATCCTAACATCAACCAAGCTTTTGTTATAGCTTGCTGTCACCACTTTCTTGTGTGTAGATGTTACAAACTTTTGGACATTTATCCTACATCTAAACTAAATTCTTTCTAATTAGATAATATCTTTCTAGTTTCTCGGGAACAATTAGGAGATACTTTAGAAGAAATACGAGCTTCTAGTGGCAACATGCTATGGGGTGGTGATCCTGGTTCTGGAGTCAAATCAATACTTTTTAGAAGAAATATTTGAATATCAAAATCATCTACACACATTGATACAAACAAGATGGATACGCTTTTGCTATATATGTACCTAAATCATAACACATTATTCTTTTTTTTTCTTTTTCTTTTGATACAAGTACAACGCTATTTGGTGTCAAGGGTTCAAAAATTTAGATTAACCACACAATGCGCAACTCATAATATTTAAGTATCGAACTCTTACGTGTGGAGAGTTTTGAGACCCCATAATATAAAGATGATGCTACGTCCGTTTGAAAAGAGAGGATCCCTTCCTCTTAATCCACCAAATCAGGGAATCCGTGTCGTTGAAATTTGATCCAACGGCTACAAATAGGGGCCCACTTCAAAAGTTCAGTCGTTGGATCCAATTTTAATGGCACGGATCCCCTTATTTGGTGGATTAGGAGAAAGGGATCCAGAGCCGTTTGATTAATATATAAGGAAAATTAATGAAAATGGCTTTAAAACGTTGAGTTTTAATCAAAAGGACAAAAATGTGTTGTAAGTGAATAGTACCAAGAATGACTTTTTAGAGTAAAAATGTCATTTTCGTTAAAAGTGAACAGTACCGAGTATGTTTCGTTAAAACTTCCTAATATATGTCCTCAGTGAAGAGAAGTCGACTTAATAATTATTGGGTGGTTTAGTTGGATAAATGGATTTTGCAGCAGTCAAATAACTTGTATTAAACGGAAGTAATCTTACCTAATAATGAGTAGCAGTATAACTACTATTCTAACTTTTAGTGACTGCATTATATATTTAGGGATGTGCTATCCACACATCATTTTTTACTTCTCTAATATCCATTGTTAATTTCTATCATTTGATCTTCTTCAATTCATCCGATTCGACGACCAAAAATTAAAAGGGTATGAGAGAAGTAAAAAGGGGTGTGTGGATATCACACCCTTATATATAGGATCCTATCCGAATTCTTTTTGTGAAGATTCTGGAGATCATTTCATCGTGTCCATTCATCTACTATCATGCGGCTAGAAATCATTTTGAATATTTTTATTTATAATTGAACACAAACAATATATGATGAAAACTGACCACATGATATATGATGAACGAACATGATGAAGTGATCATCGAGATCCTCACAAAGAAGATCCTCATCCTACATACACGACATTGATGGGATCCTTCCCTTTATTCATCTTACTCTCAGAGACCCTTCGACAGCAACATATATATGTCGATGATCTGCATGTTTGACTTTCACATGCAACAATATGCATGGTTTACCTTGCCCCCCAACGACTCTGTCTGGGTAAATAGGCCCTCATCTTTGTTTGTAAGAATTCTAAATAAAGATGGTTTACCTTGCCCCCAACTTAGTTTATTTTGTGTGAGGATAGGGTGATACTCTTGCTTTTTGTGGCAGTGTCGTTTGTTTTCTCTATCCTCATGGCTGTTGGAATTTATATATTATAATATTAATAATTATAATATTTAATTCAAAATATTGAATGAAAAATGCATAACCGTTTGAAAGTACAAAATATATGAAGTTTGCCAGAGTCTGAAGATTGAAGTGCTTTTGACTTCGGATTATAGATTGTTGAATCCTCGGAGACGGACGCCTACCGAACTACAAGCACAAGAGTAGGGGCGAAATTCTGTCTTTAGGACATTGCATTTATGCAAGCCTCAATCTTCAAGATTGTCAGTTTTCCTAACTTTATCTCTAGTTGTTTATATGAATTTTGTATACTATTGATGTTGTGATTTTCATATTTTCTAATATTGCTCCAACAATGGCTGTGTACCTTTGCTTGCTGGTTGCCAGCTTTTCGTGTTTCCTTGACCTTCTGGCTTTGTTTATGATATGATATGTTGCAGGAAAAAAAAAAGTCTTAAACTTTTTTTTTTCCAAATTTTTTACTATTATTGGAGGAGGAGAGTTCGGAATTATTACAATTATTTAGAGGATGAAGAGTTTTGAATACGGAATCTATAAGTAGAACTCAGCAATCTATCCACTAGGTTACTAGTGCACATACAACATAACTTGAATTCTCTCTCAGTGGGTTAGAAAGCAACAAAGAGTCCTATTGAGACTGTATATGTGTAGGAAATAATGACATTACAGTAGTGACCAACAACTATATATTCAAGCGACAAGGAAATCGAACAATTCTTTAGGTTAATGTTTACAAGAATGTGGAGGTATCTTTTTCAAATAGGTGCTGAATACGTAAAAATATATGTATCTGAGTAGAGAATTCAGAAGCCACACTACCAATAACCAATCCAGGAAAATAAACCTTATTAACGAATAATGAAAGCAGAAATTAATTTTTCTGTATAAGGTTGAACAGTTTTTTCAAATTTATAAGTATGAACCAGAGATGAAGATGACGAGATTTATGAGATTGATCTGCAAAACAGAAAGAAAAATGTAAACTTTAGTTTATAAGGAGGCAAATGCATCAGGTGAACGTACAGTTTCTAAATTAATTATTAAGAATTTTATTTGATCTCAATGAATAAAGAGGAAATATTCAACAATTTAATGTAACTGAAAAAAATGAAGCGAAAGATTTGAGCGGGTATCTGCAAGAACTTACTCTAGTCTTTCCAGTAGGATTCACTTGTTTCATCATCCATGAGTTTCTCCCAAGCGTCAAAGATGGCTGTGGAAGAAGTCCCCGGAGATACTGCTGCTGATGAAAATGCAGGAGGTGGTTGGTTCGAGGTCTGCACATATATATCACCAAAGCAACTACTGCTCATGTTCTCCTGATCAGTACTATTGTTACTAATACCTCCTTGTGCACCAAACCCACCTTGAAATCCTTCAAACAAGTTAGAAACCGCGTGGAAGCCATCGACTTATCAGCCTGCTGGTTCCATTTTTGACCACTTAGTATGGTACTTGCACCACTCATATTCCCTCCTCCAAACAGATGAAGGCTGAGAACCAAAATGACTATTAGTAGTAGTGTTCTTCACGTCTGCATTATAATTTTTAGGAGGAACTACGCTCACGACTGGCATCATGTATAAACGTTGAAGTAACTGCATTTTGGCAAGTTGGGCAGCACCCGCTGCTGCTTGCAGGCTCATGGCATTGTCCCAAGGACTAGTCATCATGTTCGAGTTGCCAACAATTGCTGCTCTGAGCAACCATGAAAGGTCGAGGAGGTGATTGAGGTCAGTCCTTGGCCTTGGCTTGTGGGTGTTTGGATCAATCCCCATGTGCAGGAGCTTCTTTCTCAGGTGGGTGTTCCAGTAATTCTTGATTTCGTTATCCGTTCTCCCTGGTAGATGAGTTGCAATCTTTGACCACCTGAAAGAACAAGCACGTAGACCTTTAATTAATTAGTTTCACAAATTAGTTTTACAAATTTGTATAGAGGAAACTTAATTTATATGTGAATTGTGATGGATGGAGAAAATTAATTAGCATACTTGTTTCCAAGAACTGAATGAAGATTGATGATAACTCGTTCTTCCTCTTTGGAGAACTTTCCTCTCTTAATATCAGGCCTCAGGTAATTTGTCCACCTTAATCTGCAACTCTTGCCACACCTGTTGAGGCCAGCAAGCTTGGGGAGAGCTCTCCAGCTTCCATGACCATTTCCTCTAATATAATCCGTCAATTTCACATCTTCGTCCATTGTCCAGCGACCTTTCTTCAAACTGTTTTCTTCATCACAACAAGGGGATCCAACCATTGTGCTAATATTCATACACAAACAGGGAAAAAGGTAAGAAAATAAGATGGCACGATAATTATCAGGATTAGGTATTGCATGTGTCATCAACGAGACAGTATGGTCGACAAATTTTCGTAAAGCCACCAGTCAGATTTTAATTGGATATAGAATGCCAGAAGAATAAGGTGGCGTACCTAGGATTCAAGGTTCGGATTGTGTTTATGTTTTGTGACAAAAAACTAAAAGGCACGCGACAACGTGACATCAAGAAAAGCAGATGGAAAATATACAGATTGTGTGCTACTTGAGAAGAAGTGTTGTCATTGACTGTTGTTGTCCACATGGTAAACTAGTATTTGAATTGATTGCAAAGACCCCAGAAATTTGACATTTTTTTTCTCGGGCAATGGTAGTGTTCAATTTTTTGCTGTCGCTTCGTTGAATTGTTGATGATGTTGTAGACATGCAAATTTCGGTAAATAGAATTGCCAAATTGGGCAAGATTGATTATTTAATTTTCATTTAAATTAAATAATTGATTTATTGATTGATTAATGGAAATAAATTACGAACCAAGCCACAAATCAAGTCCAAATTCATCCATGGGCAAGGCTTGGAAAGTCTGTAAATACAAGGCCCCAAGGCAAAGGAAAGAGATACAAAATTCATTCAAGCACCTAGACGCTGTCAAAGCTCAAGCACCCAAATCCCCAAAACACTTAGAAGAATTTAGAAAGTTCTCTGTGTTCTTCACCAAACTTTCGAAGAATCATCAAGCACTACTACTCGTGCCAATCCTTCAAATCGCCATGAGACCAAAACCTCGCGGCAACCGTTCATTCGAGACCAAGTCATCGTGACACTTGGATCAACAACCTACACATCCACACATCTTTTAGAGATTGAATCAGAGGAAACTTGTAAATAGAGAGTGTAACCTTACAAATTCATTAATACAAATTTATTTTTGTGCACGTGTTCTTATTTCATTTGTCACAGGAATTTCATGTTTACAAATTTGGCATGCTCGGTGGGAATATCTTTGCCTTTCATCTCTTTCTCCGTTCGATGAACAAACACTAACAAAATCAATGGTATCAAAGAAGGGTCAAGTTGTTCCTGCAATCAAGGCGAAGAGCGTGAGCATCTCAGCTGTAAGTGGAGAGTCTATCGGCGTCACAACCCGAAGTAAGGCAAGGGCAGTCATTGTTCAACAAGCCACCTCCAAGTTGGTGCCATTGAAGGAACAAGGGGAGCGTCAGAGGCGCGAGCTTGTCATCAGCTTGGCCTCACTAGAGACATCAAAGTAAGCCATTGCATGAGAGAAGACAACCTGAAGTGATGAATGTGGTTCTTTTGCGTCAAAGAGTTCAAGGGAGTGTTCATTGTCGCCAGCCTTAGATGCAGACTCAAGCACTGGATCCTACCATGGATCACCAACTGACCATTGCCATGAGGGGATTGCGATGACCCTTTTGATGTTTGTAGGGGACTCTTATCCTGTGATCATGCAAGTGATGATTACTGGTGAGACACCCATTGAGGAGCAGTTAGCTTAAATGAATGAGGCGATTGCAAAGCTGACAAAGACCGTCGAAGAGAAGACATGCAGATTACCACTCTCATGAATAGGTTGAAGACGTAACATGAAGAGGAAGCCTACCCCAACCTGAAGAAGTATTAGCGGGACAAGGAGTCTAGCGAGAAAGAGGAGCCTTACGTAGAGAAAGTAGAAGAAAGACAAAAGCCGGAGTCTAAAGTTACTTCGATGAGCTCTCTTTCCATTCAGCAGCTCCAAGGCATGATCTCTGATACCATCAGGGCACAGAACGGGGGTACTTCGTAGGACACTAAGTTGTATTCCAAGCCACGCACCAGGAGTATTGATGGATTGCGGATGATAACAGGGTATCAGCCACCTAAGTTCAAACAGTATGACGGAAAGGGCAACCCAAAGCAACACATTGCCAAATTTATCGAGACTTGCAACAATGCTGGAATAGAAGGAGACCATCTCATGAAGCAATTTGTCCGCTCCTTGAATGGGAATGCATTTGACTAGTACACGGACCTGGAGCCTGAGTCCACCAACAATAGGGATTAGATGAAGCGAGAATTCTTAAACCATTTCTATAGTACTTGTTGCACCGTCAGCATGATGGAACTCATAAGTTCTAAGTAGTGGAAGGACGAGCCGGTTGTCAACTACATCAACTGATAACGCTCACTGAGTCTTGACTACGAAGATAGGCTTTCAAAAACCTTTGCAATAAAAATGTGCGTACAGGGCATGCACTGGGGACTACATTACATCTTCCAAGGCATCAAGCCACAGACCTGTGAAGAGTTAGCTACCTAGGCCCATGACATGGAGCTGAGCAATGCCAATCATGGGAAGAAAGAGCCAATCGCTAACAATCGGAGAGACAAAGTCTTCTAGCTAAAGGTAGAGAAGATGGTGAAAAAGCCTACCAAGGAGGCAATGATAGTCAACACTACGCCTGCCAAAATCTCTACACGAGACACCGCTTCTGTTAAAATCTCTTCGAAAGAAAAGAAGAAAGATGTTAAGTGGGACGAGCCTTTTTGTGGTCAGGAAAGGTATAAACACATCTTAAAAGAACTAGAAGAGAAGACTACCCATTCCCTGACTCTGATGTGGCCGCCATGTTGGAAGACCTACTCGACAAGAAAGTAATCGAGTTGCCTGAGTGCAAACGACCAAAAGAAATTAATCAAGTGAATGATCCAAAGTATTACAAGTATCATCGCATCATTAGTCATCTGGTGGGAAAGTTCTTTGTCCTCAAAGAGTTAATCATAAAGCTTACCTAGGAAGGAAGAATTAAGATAGACCTGGAAAAAGCGGCAACAATGAATACAACAACCATTGTGTTTGGGTCCTTTTATCCCGTACCTTTCTACACATCATCTGTCAAGCCTCAACCACGTTCTTCTAAGGTGTGTCATGAAATGGTTCGTGCAAGAGAAGCTCGAATAGAGCATGCCACCATAACTCATCTACCAACGATAATGAAGGGTGAATGTTGGTGGCACGAAGGAAGGTGTGAAAACCACTGTCGTAAGCTGTTCACCCAAGGAATGAAGACCAAAGAGGAAGCCCTTCCCACTATGCTGATAGGACCCCTCTAAAGGCAACTATAAAGGTGACAAAGCTGACACTTGGAGAAAAACCTAAGACCCGAAAGCTGCGAGCTCCCACAGTTATGCAAGAATACTTTCCCAAAGCCTTTTTCAAACATAGTTCAACAACGGTTTCTTGCTACATGGTCAAAGGAGAATAGTCATTGAATGAGAATGATACTGTTGATAAGGAAAAGGAGGATCCTTCACAAATGAAAGGCATACCTGAATGCTTTAGCATACACGAAGCATTACAACTACCCAAAGAAATACGAAGGGCATTAGTGGAGGTGTTGATGAATCCTAACAACTACAAGTCACAGACATACAAGGTTGGAGACTTAGAGCTTCGGCCTCATGAATGTGCCATGTGTTGTGCCACATGTGCTGCCATCAACTTCATTGATGAAGAGCTATTATTGGGGTCGAAACCGCATAATCACCCATTCTTTGTCTTAGGTTATGCAAGAGAACAAAAGATTGGTCGCATACTTGTTAATGGAGGTTCAACAATACACATCATGCCAAAGTCAACAATGGCGAAGATATGGATCAATATGGACGAGTTATCTCGAAGCCACATTCTAATCCAAGGTTTCAACCAAGGCGGGCAAAGGGTAATGGGTATGATCAAGATCGAGATGGCAATTGGAGAATTAAAGTTAAGTACGCTGTTTCACATTATTGATGCTAGGACCTACTACAGCTTGCTCTTAGAAAGGCGTTAGATTCACGAAAATGGAGTCGTACCATCAACCCTGCATTAATGTCCAAAGCTCTACAAATGCAGGGTGAAGACAATACAGAGGGACACTAAGCCATTTACTGAAGCAGAGTTATATTTGCTGATGCCAAGTTTTACATGGATGAAGACATGGTGCCAGAGACCTATTCCACAGAAATCTAATCAACAGGTAAAGCCATGCCTAGAAAGAAAAAACTGCAAGTAGTGTCATCTCCAAAGAAAAGTGACGTCAAGCGTTTAGAGCACTTGACATCCGAAGAGAGCGGAGCATCTTCAAAAGGATCGAACACACTAGTCCTCCAATACATTCTGGTGTCACGAAGAAAGAATAGGCAATCACCATTTAAGAAAGAGACAAAAAATAATCATGCAAGAAAACTGGAAAAAGAAGACGTAAAGCTTCTGAAGGCAGCCACAGTTGTGACGCTACCCACGTTAAATAATCCAAATGTTTCAAAGCCATCATTGCCGAGTTTTGTTAGAATAATGCAAAACATGACGGAGCGTGGCTTTCTTCCTACCAAGAGGACCGAGAAAGGTTATGACCCCAACGCTTACAAGCTTATGTCAAGGGCTGAATATGACTTCACCTCATCTTCAACACTCGGAAATAAGGATCTAGGCATCATTGGTGAAAGGAAACATGAGCTTACTGAAACACAGAGAAAGCTGAAAGAGCGTGGTTATGAAGTCAACTTTACAAAGGCAAGCCTTAGTTTCACACCTATCGCACCTATCAAGATTTCAAGCAAAGGGAAAGATAAGAAGGTTAGTACTCAACACATCAACGTGGATGTAATGGAAGATGATGAAGAAGAATCAAAGCCCGTTCCATGAATATTGGTGTTCGATTGTTTGATCAGTTCCACACCTTGAACTTTCACGTTGGATCACATTGGAAGTCAAGTTCGAACTCTTATCTTTAATCGATTCAGTGTACCCACTAGACAAGTCTCTGTGTTCAACAGAATGACTGGCTCTGGTAGACAGGAAAGTGTGGCTGGTTTTCCCCCATGAATGTCAGCCTTAGAGAGACTCACAGTGGCAAAAGATCTGTCTAAGGAGAAGAAGTCGGTCTCAGCAAAAATGAGACATCTCGATTTAGCCAAAGATGGTGAGATTCGAAGTT